GGACCAACTGGTCGGCAGAGAGCGGCCGGCCCGCTCGGCCCCCCGGGCGAGGGTCAGGCGCGTGCAGGGGGCGCTGGGGTCTACCGAGGGACTCGTCTCCCCCAGCGTTATATTTTTAGCTGCCTAATTGTAAGAGCAGAATGTACTCGGCTTTGCTGCAGGATGCTCCTTCCCGGCTCCTGGCAGAGATTGATCTCGAAATGCCAATTGCTCTCCAGGGGCGCTGGGTCTAATGAATTGCAAGGGTTTACGCTTGTCCCAGGCGCAGGCGCTGCCTTCCCCCCCCGCCACCGCCTGCAGAAGAGCAGCGAATTCAGGTTAACAAGGCACCAAGGAAAGGGATTATTTTTCGTTTTTCTGAAACGAAGGTAAAAATTTCATGGGAGCGTGTGGATGCGGGTTTGTTTGTGTGACAGCACATAATTATAAAGCCCAGATCCTGCAGGCTTTTCTCTGGCAACGTTCCCACTGAAGGCTTGCCTGAGAGAGGAGCTCAATAAAATTGCCTTTTGCAGTTAGCAAGGGTAACACCTCCCCGCGTGCGTTTGTTCCTTGTAGTCTAGTTTCCAGCAGGAGAAATTTTTAAAGCCTGTAATGACCAGACCAGTTTGCCAAAATCCCAGGGTCTTGCAAGCTGTTTCAAGGCGCCAGGAGCGGATGCTGGCAGCAGGTCTTTCCTTGCAGCGGTTCGACACAAAGGCTGCTTTCCCTCGACGCTGGGGACTGCTCCTCCGCGCGCGCCTCCAAGCCTGTTTGCAGCTGTGCTCAGCCCCAGAGCTCTTGGTCTGACCTTGTTTACAGTGGGAAATTCAGGAAAATGAATTGAACTGATCTTAAATCGATTTGGTGAATAGCTTTAAACCTCTGTTTGGATTCCGCTTCTGGAACTCTAGTGCTTTAGTTTCATTTACCTTATTGCACTCCCAGAGGGGCTACTATCTAGCATACTGGCTCCTCAGCATAGGAACTGTGGCTCTGTGCTCTCTTGCTAGCTGATGCAGGACACATCTGCATGTCAGATGCCCACCAGTGACGGAGCTGGTCACCGAGACACAGTCCCTCACGCAGACGTGTGCTGTCCCGGTGTCCCCTTAGCCTCCCGCCAGGCGAAGCCCGGCTGTTGTCTCGTGCCCTGGCTGTGCTCCCGGGAGCTCCTGGGAGCGGGTGCGTGCTAAGCCCCTTCCACCGCTCCCCGGCGGCTGCTGGACCTCCGCTTGGTTCTTGGTCCTTGCTTCAGGACAGCCACTTTCTGCTCGGACAGCAGGATGATGTGCCGCTGGGTTTGTGCCTGCGGTGACTTTTGACCCGTCAGTCCGGACCCCACTGGCACGCTGTGATTTAACCACCTCGTGTAGGCGCCTGCCTCCACTGCTGCATACGTTTGTCACCTAGTGAACTGGAGGGACAGAAAGAGAAATGAGCCCAGGGCACATCTACACCACGCTGGCCTACAGCATGCAGAGCTGCCTAGACAGCTTCCGGACCCAAATTGCCTTTGCATCCTGCGTTTAGCTGCAGGGAGGAAGGACCTTCAGAGTCTGGGGCAGGAATGGGGTTCTCCTGTGGGGAGGAAGGCTGGAAGTCTGCTGACGTTGGTACGGTCTTGGCTCTCTTTCCCCCTGAGGCTGGGAAATACTGTTGTTTTTTTAGTTTCTCGCGGCTCTGCAGAACAGCTGGAGTGGGCAGTCAAGCCTGGATAACTTGCATTTGCTAGAACCAGACAAAAACGTGCTTGCCTTTCGCTTCCCATCACAAAACCAGCAGACCGTTTTGACACAAGTGGAGTCGTAGGTCCAGGAGAGAAATGCCTGAGCGGAGCTGGGCGCGGACAGTAGCAAAGGGGCACGTTCCTGCTGCAGACGGGCTGGCCAGCTCAGCTCTGAGCGCACAGCCTTGGTTGCTCCAGCACCGCTGCATTACGTTTCAGAGACCCGATATGACGGGCTGCCCCTGTGCTTGGGGGCTGTGGTGCCAAGACCCACTCAGACATGCCTCTGCAGGGAGTAGGTGCAGGGGCCCGTGCTTCAAAATGCGAGGTAAAAAGTGGTGAGCAGACGCAGCGGGGGAGCCTGATCCTGCATTAGTGATAGTGCAGCTGCACGGCTGCCAAATTATCCTGCCTTGCAGGAGGGGGAGGCAGGGACTTGCGCAGGGAAGAGGCAGCCAAGCATCTCATTAGCTTGCAGGGGATGATGCTGAAGCCACGTCCCGCCAGCACGCTGCTCCTTTGCCTGGTCCCTGCCACGCAGGTCTCAAAGGCCTGGGCCAAAGTGCCAGGGCAGGAGAGCGTTTCGGGCAGAAAAGGCCCAGTTTGGCAGCGGGTCGCCCTCCTCGGCTCACCCAGAGCGGGTGGTGCTGCCTTCCCGGCTGGTTGCACGTGCTGCCCGGAGACGTGCCCTGCCGTCTTCACGGATTCGAGAGGCTGTGCCCGCTCCTCCCGCTCAGCGGCCGTCGTTAAGCCTTACGTCGAGGATCTCTAGCCAGTTGCTATTGCCTTTGGCCTGCTCAGCTTAACCGGTTCGTTTTGGGCAGCTTGCCTGCGGTGGTCACAGCAATGCGATTCTGCGGGAAAGTCTCCGATCTCTGGGGGCCG